TACAAAGACATGTGATTATCAGCAAGACTATCTCCCTTGGACTAAAGGAAACAAATAAACAGATTCATATTAAAAATTTATAAACACAAAATATAAACAAATTTACATACGTAATAATATGGGTAACATGTGATTACCAACCTCAACGACGGTAGTACGATCTGTAATCAATAAAAAGAAAAAAAAAMGAAAACACGTATTAAGAAACATGGTTCAATAAGAAAGATGACAAATATATAAAAGAAACCAAAACGAATGTTCAACCAACACAAGAATCACTAACCTCAACAACGATGCCATCACGTGTAAAAAATAAAACAGGGAAGGATACAAAATATAATCTAGGTTAAAACACGGCCGTAATACAACTTAAAAGAACACAACATTAATGAGAGACGATACGAAACATACCTCGTTAAGGTTACTTGCGGTTGGGGTGATTAATATTTATAAGAAGATCAGGGTAAAATCTAGGGTTTATTACTACCGACATTGACAAATGGGCTTCCAAACAATCAAAGAAAAATTTTAGATACAGCCCATAAAATCAAAACGAAAGCCCGTTGGAATTTACGGGCCTATATAGGAAAAGACGTTAAAACCACATGAATATTTTATCAGCAATACAAAACAAAGGACAATTCCGTAAAACAACATTCATAGATCAAAATTTAATTAGCGAAAATATTGAGGATTTAAGTAAATAAATACGCCTAAGTACCCCCTTGAGAGCGATTGTGGAGTCGCCATGTCAGCTTTTGTACTTCGCAAATAATAATAGATTGGGCTTCAAATCCAACTCTTTATGATTATATTAAGCTAGGTCATTATGCTAGTCTTGGTATATATATCCTCACGTGGTTGAAAAATGAGGGTCTAATTACTTCGCCGCTATAGCTTTTGGGATAGTATAAAATCTGAATGAATTTTAGTTTAGTTGTTACACAAAAAATGGTTTGTCCAATTTTGGTTTTGGTTTTTCGGATTTTAAAATAATAAAACCAAACGGTTTATAAATAAATTTCGATTTCATTTTAGTTTAACTAGTTTTTTTTTTTGTTTCCATTACTTAACTATC